TTTCTCTGTTGGGTCTTTCTTTTCTTTCTTTCTTTCTTTTTTTTTTTTTTTTTACATTTATCTATTTATTTTTATTGGAAAGGCAGATCAGATTTACACGGAGGAGAGGCAGAGAGGAAAAGGAAAGGAACTTCCATCTGCTGGTTCACTCCCCAAATGGCTGCCTCTTCTGGAGCTGAGCTGAGCCGATGCCATCTGAAGCCTGGAGCTTCTTCCTGGTCTCCCATGCTGGTGCAGGATCCCAAGGCTTTGGGCCATCCTCTGCCATTTCCCCAGACCACAGGCAGGGAGCTGGATGGGAAGTGGAGCCACCAGAACACAAACCAGCCCATATGGGATCCTGATGCTTGCAAGATGAGGATTTAGCCACTGAGCCACTGAGCCACTTCGCCAAGCCCCTCATTTTAAGGACCAACTGGAAGCCTGGCCTGGTTCGGCGGAGTAGGGAAGCCATGATAAGACAGATTCTGTCCAGAAGGAAGTACCCTTCTGAGATGAACCTGAATTCCACACCTTGCCCCAGCCTCGGCTCTGAAAATGATCATTAGTCCCAGTGTAGTGTCCAGATGTGGTCCTAGCTGAGCGGTCTGTTCTCATTGGTGCCCTGAGGGTGTACCTGGACCTGTTGCTTCCCACCTGTGGCCACTACCTCTCCAGGTGCCTCTTGAGGGTCATTTAGTTTCTTGGTCTTGGCTTCAAGGGGCACCTAAAAAGAACAGGACTGCAATTAAAGCAGGTCATCACCCCTCCTCTGAGCTGGGCTCCCAAAGAAAAAGTGGAGCAGGGCATTGGAATTGAATGAAGGCTTTGGCACAGATAAAGTTAGGACCATGAGAGGCCAGGACACGCAAGCTTAGCGTGGACACACTGGCAGGAGATGGGAAGCCCTGGTGACATGAGATCTTCCAGGGGTTAAAGGTAGGGGAGCCAGTATCCAGAAGCAGGAGAACTCCTGGGTGGGGAGGGGGCTGTCACATCTAGGTGATGTCCCTCGGCAGTGTGGTGGGGATCTCCAAAATGCCATAGCACCTGAGGCCTTACAGAAGGCCCTGACCTGTCTGGCTAGCATACTGTGGGGCTAGAGAGAGTACAGTTTCCTGCATTTGTAGGGTATGCAGAGTAGACAGACTCTGAATAACTAAAAATAGACCTGCTTGAGCTATTTTTAAAAAAATAATTGGATTGTAAAAAAAATTAATTTACTCTTGGCAGGCTTTTGAAACAGCAGGTGTCAGTCTGCAGTGAAGAAATAACCCAGGGGCCATGACATGTAGGCCATCTCTGTGTCATAGAGTCAATCCCATCTCACATAGAGCATTCAAGAAAACCTAGGGAGATCAGCACCTTGGCTCAATAGCTGATTCTCCGCCTTCAACTGCCAGGATCCCACATGGACACTGGTTCATGTCCCAGCTGCTCTACTTCCCTTCCAGGTCCCTTCTTGTGGCCTAGGAAAGCAGTAGAGGGTGCCCCAAAGCCTTGGGACCTTGCACCTGCGTGGGAGACCCAGAAGAAACTCCTGTGAAGGGGGAACGCTGAACTTGAAGTCAGCTCATCAGGCTCTGAGAAACTGCATACTTTGTTGTGCTGTCTCCACTCAGAGAACTGAACTTCTACCAGAACTTGGAAAGACAGGTGAAGAACTAGAATTGTGATTGTTAGATTATTTGCACAGTCTTCTACAAGTTCTTTCTTTTTGAGATGGATTCTAAGCCAACTTCTGGGATTCTAAATACCTTCCCATGATGTGATGTTCTTTACAAAGATCAATTCATAAACAAATGAACAAGAGTTGGCAGATTATGCAATCCTCAGTGCTACAACCTGGAATTCCTCCACACACCCAAGAGACCAGTCACCTGGTCTGTTGCCTGCACAACTGCTTCTTTCCCCTGTTTCTTCCTTGTTGGTGGCTTCACTGTGCTTTCAGCAGCCCTGGCTATGTGAAGGTGCTTGTGATCACCTAAATGTTTAGCTGGTTGTTTGTTTTCCTTGGAGCTTCTGATAAAAGCAATCTTAGGCTTTTATCAGATTAGCCATGCAAATTCTCACATGTCCTATCACCTAAATGCTTCTCCCCAGAAATGGTGTCTGGGTATTGAGAATACAGATAAGCAAGCCTCCCTCCCAGCCCTTGGCTGTTGGCTACTGAGGGTTGTTGCAGCTGCTTGCAGAGCTGCCATAGCAAAGAACTGGGAAATTATTTTGCAGTTAAAACCATATGGCCCCAACGCTGTATGCTGCTAAAGTAATATTGCCTTATGGAAAGGGCACAGTAAGGACAGTCCCACAGCTGAACCCTGTACTGAGTTTATTCTCTTGGCCCTTGAGCTCTCTTAAAACCATGTTGCAAGTGGGAGACCTCTTTTCTGTTCACACAACTTCGGGTTTTCTGAAGATAATCCATGAATGAGTGGCTGCAGCCTTGCAACGTCTTGACGTTTCCCGCCTTCCTACAGGCTGACTATTGCCTGGCATCCACTCTGCTTCTTCCCGGGTTTGGGGATTAACAGCATGGGCAACGCGCCAAGACTATCTGACTACAATCCCAGCTGATATTTCTTAGCTTTGTGGTATTGGGCCAGTTAATCCACTTCTGTGTTCCTCTATTTATATACTTCACAGAATATGAGTTAACGGTGGAGTTATGATGGAAGCAGGTTCATTGAGTCAAGAATTAAAGTAGGAGATATTCCAGAAAGCTGTGGAAAATGAAAGATGTTTATTTTGGCACAAAAAGCTTGGAATTTATTTTTTTCCATAAAACACCATTTTCACTTACTCTTTAAAGACTTATTTGCAGATTTCAAATTTTTGTATCACAGAAATTTATGTAATTCCATTTTGTGTCCTTTTTAAAAATCTCATAGTATTTTACATGTGCTTTGTTTGCTTTTTTTATTAATTTATTGTTTCTTAATTAAAACTGAGTGGATTTTAGGGCTCAGCGTTCCTAGTTGCCAGGTGCCAACTAAAGATTTAGCTCCCACTAGGTAGTGGGTAGCCAGAGCCTCACCAGGCACTGTTGAGAACAGGAGAGAAGCCATTTCACAAGCAGGGATTAATAACAGTTATGAATATTAAGTATGGGACAGTCACAAAGAGAAGTGTGTCATATCCTCAAAGTGAGCGCCAGTTTTTGCCGCTGTTTATATAGGTTGATGGTCCTAAGACACAGTGGGCCCAGCCCAGAGCAAGATTTAGTATATACTCTGAACAATTTTGCTTCCTCTCTGGTGCACAGGCTACAGAAGTACTTTGTTTATAGAGTGTCTGCAATTTCTCCCCTTTCCACCACAGTTCATAAACATCTATTGGAAACTGAAAAGCATGAAGACTTCACTTCTGACTTTCAAAGTCCTTTGCTAAAGGACATCTTAAACTCTGTATGACATAGAAATACATTACTCTGAAATCTACAGGTATTATAATAAATGCTTTTTAATTTACCATTAATCTGCCAGTGCAAGGCTGTCAGATTCTGTTTATCACAAAATCTTGAGACATGACATTCTGACTCTGTGTAGAACTCAGTCTAACTTTTGGTACAGTCAACATCATATTCACGTTGGCATAAGGAATGGCTCCTTATACCACTGGATTTAAATCATACCAAATATATCTTATGTGTGAGCGTTCCAGCCCTTCTTAGCCAAGAAATTCAAATGCACTCAATTTAAATGGGTGTTTTCTGCACTGGGTGACTCTTGGTAACACACACACACAGGTTGATAGTAGGTCATCATTTCCCACCAGGGATCAAATGTAGCTTGGTAAAATGACAATGGGTTCACAGTTGGGTCACTAACCTGTCTCTGGAGGGACATTCTGACTAGGTGATGTTTCACCTATTCATCCCGGAGTTGACCTGTGTGCACATTGGTGATTTTTAAGGAAAGCACAGCTGACTGTGCACGTGGGGGCGTGGCGTGGCTGGGCCTGGATTAGGCATGAGCATGGAGAACGCTATTAGCTTAGGACATGTGACATTGCACATAGGAAGTTTCCCCAAGTGAAAGCTCTCAAGACTTCTCCAGTGGCTGATAAATCTGAATATCGTTTGTCATGCTGAAAACGTCAAATAAGAGAACAAGATTTTTTTTTTTTAAAAAAGGAAGTTTATTGGTCTTTAAATGGCTCAAATTGCAAATAAACGAATTGGGTAGTGGCATCAGCCTAAGACATGTGATGCATCTCTGTCCATTGGCTTCATAGCACCTCAGTACCCAGGAGAGGAAAGGTCTCAAAGCAGAGTCACAATGTTAGTGGTTAGGACCCCTGGTTAATAAGACTGCAATGAGTGAGTACACACAGAGATTGCTGGGCCCGCTGGCCAATATTACATTGGTAACTTTAATTCTGCATATGGCATAATCTATGAAAAATACGAAATGGAAGATGTACATCTCACACTCTTGAGGGACAGATATTTAACATGACAAGCTGAATGTAGTATCTAAAGAGCTGAGTTCCTTAAAAGTCTATTTTTGATAGCTTTACATACACTTCTGTTACCTGGAATGCCTGAACACATCTTTGACTTATTCAAATTAGGGCTGAGGAAAAAAATCAAAAAGCTCTGCTCAATCAACTGTGCTAGCTCCATCCCAGAGAAGAAAGAATGACAGTGATCTATGTAATTCCCAGCAAAATTATGTATCCAAACAGATTGCTGGAACGCTTCAAGTGGCGACTGAGTAGGGACACAGCCCCATGTTTGGTGTGTATGTGTGCACACACATTTTCTACACTATGCCTGGGTTGGATTGTTTGATGCTAATTTTAGGAAGACGTAGCCACAGAGTTCATCATGAACATAAACAGACTACAAATACTCTTAATAATTCCTGTAAAGCCAAACTGTAAATCTCATGAATACAAATTTAGAAACAAACAGGTGGCAAGTATGACTTATTTTCTCCAAGTGTTCTAATGCAAAATGGATTATTAGCATGGTTAATATTTTTCCTGTGCCCTAATTTGAGGAGATTAAAACCTAACACTTATAAGCTCACCACCCGCGGAAAGTGATTTCCAGGGACCAGCATCTTAGAGGAAGAGGCTTCACACAAATCTATCAGAGAGTGAATCCTCAGAAGTCTAAAATTATCTTGCAAGGACATGCTGGCCTTCCACTGTAAACCACCTCACAGCCGATTCAGAGTGGTCAAGCAGCTCTGGAACCTTCCTTCAAGGACCAGAGTATGGCACACAGTTTTCATCTGGACAGACTCCCAGCGGACAGTTATTTCTTAAGAACCTTCTATACAAAAGCTGTACCCCACAGCAGGCATACAGTGTCTCACGGGACAACGGGGTGCCAGCGAGAACATGCCCAGAATGATGTAACTGGATATTTTTCAGTTTCTAAATTAAGGCATATTCCAAAATGTCCATGTACAAGCTTCCACCACTTTTCTAAGTTAATCACCAGGTCATTAGCGCAGACTCACAGATGAATTGCTCTCAGATTAACTATATGCAACAACCATGCCAACAACTTTTTCTTCTATATTTTGCATAACAATGGTTTAAAAAGTGGTACAGTTTAACTATCATGTTCACAATTGTCATTTTTCAAGGCAGTAGAAGACCAAGACATTTTAAAATGATATAAAATTTAAGCTTTATAATAAACGCCAGAGGAAGTAGCCTTTCCTCCCATTGCCCACCACTGTCTCACTTCTTTATTTAACAGTTCCAGAAAGACTGCCCGAGACAGACATGCTACATTCAGGACCGTGATAAATGTAGGCAGTAATGAAATAAGCTCAACCTTGCTTCTGGTAGAAGCCACGTGAATTTCTTTTTAGAGTGAATTTGACTTTCAGTGTAGTTCCAATTCATGCTTTTAGTGATACATAACAATTTCCAAAATGTTAAAGTAATTTCAGTCAATTGAGCCTTCATTGGCAATGCTTATAAATTATATTTATTAGTATGGTCAAGGTAAGAAAGAAGTTGGGCTCCAATTATAAAATGCAGCATCTTTCTCTGATTCTCTTGGCTAAACTTTTCCTCTTCTTTTTCCCATTCTTTTCTTTGCTGTCTTCCATCTTTCTGGCTCGAATTTCCCTCATTAAATCAAAAAATACCTAGAAAGAAGAAAACAGGGTAAATAAAGCAGAGATCCTAGTAACGCAGTACTTCTCTACACCAAAGAAGTAAACCCTGGGAATAAATCTGAGGTATTACCACACAAACTCAGAAATGACTACAATAAAATTCAAAAGTTAAATCTAATTGTAACAAACATTCTGTGTTCTCTATAGAAGGGCCTGGAAGATCTACTTTGTACACAGAAGTTATGTATATGTGTAGGATAAATGAATGAATAACTTAGGGCCCATACTTCTGCATTCTTTTAATGCAGAATAAAACACACCCCCCCCAAATAAGCAAGAAATACAGAAGAAATAATACGTGAGAGTAAATGAATGTATATAAAGACCAATGTGCCTTTCTTGAGATGCCTGAGCTCTCTACTGCAACTTTAACTGGAAAAGGTAAGATAACAATAGCATACAGGGAAAGTTTCCCGTGTGTGTATACACCTGGGTGCATGTGCAGCTGGTGCTGAAGATATCTGCTTGCATCCACAAACCAACCAACCAACCAACCAACCAACCAACCAACCAACCAAAAAAACAACCCAACAGGGCACAACATTTTGGCTTTATGGGTTAAGCCAAAACTCGCATCACTGTCACCCCACCATCAGAGTGCTGGTTTGTGTCTAGGCTGCTCCTTTTCAGATCCAGCTCCTGCTTATGCCATTGGGAAAACAGTGGAAAATGGCCCCCAGTGTTTGGGTCCCCACTGATCATGTGGGGAACCCAGATGGAGTTCCAGGTTCCTGTTCACCTGGTATGGCCCCAGCCATTAATGGCTATGTGAAGTGAACCCCCAGTGAAGAATACCCTCTCCCTCTACTTCTCTTCTCTTTTTTTCTCATTATTACTCTTTCAAATAAACAAAACACACCCTGAAAGGAAAAAAACATTGCAATTTTCTATAAACCAGGCAATAATAACACTCATATTTTCAATTTTAAGGGGAAAGGAACAGTGGTAATATCTCTGAATAAACTTTGTCATGTAATTTCTTTTTTGGAAACAAATATCTTACACATTCCAGTAAAATAAAGTAACTCATAAAAAATAAAAATCAAGTTAAAACAAGAACTGACTACAAGCCAAGTTGGTGACAAAAATGATACAGAGGCAAGAATTATTCTAACGGTGCTTATAAAACAAAATACGGAATGGTCGTCTTAGAACAACTGTGAAGAATAGACAAAAAAAGTTTGTCAGTGACAGTGATACCACTCTCAGAATTCAAGTGGTTATGTTAATGTAGAAGAACCAAGATTTTCAGTGTAAAAGGTACAGTGCAATATCGAAGAGTCTGTAAAGTGAAATTTGAACCCAGAAATAACAGGATTTTTTTTCTTTTAATACTATTGACTTCCTAGCACTGTTCACTGTAAGGCTAATGATGACAACCCTATAGTTAACAAAGAAATGAGAACCTAGTCTGTGGCTGCTTTAAACTCGGTGTCATTATTTTATTCTTAGAGTACTCCCAGCACTGGCTTCTCCTGCAGATGGGTTATCACCAGCAGGTTGAAGTTCTAACTTTAGGCAAGCCTCTGCAAGAAACTTCCAATGAGTCCTATCAGAAGACACCAAGGTCATTTTAATGGGCAATACATTTGGAAACTTGCTAAGTCTTCATCAGCAAATTTAATGAATTAGTGCTTTAAAAAAAAAAAAAAGTCCTGCTTCAACTGCCAAGTGGAAGGAAACGAGGTATTAAGGGTGGGAATAAATTGGTTTTGATGACCGCATACAAATGGTAATCCCCTAAGCACAGGCTTTTTGCAACATTTTTAACCTCCAAATAATTTCTTTCCTCTCCTCCTCCCCTTTTTCTTCCCAATTTACAGCAAACCAGTGCACACAAAATAATTTGTCTTTTCTAATTTTAGGTAAGAGACCTTAGGAAAATCCTCCTTATCTCACTTAAGTTATCAGAAATGACTAACACCTCTAAAAAAAGAACAAGAGCCATCAATTTTAAATCTAAGCCTCTGTCATTACTAATTCCTTCATTCAGAGTACCTTGATTACTAAGTAACTACTACTTCATATCATATAAAATAGTATAGTTTCAAATGGATTATGGATCTACTAAAAATGCCAGAGTAAGAAAGTAACACAGGAATTAGAAAAATTTATTGGGGGCACACTGGGCAAGTTGCTGCCTGCCCCTCTGGCACCAGGTAGGAGCCTGTTTGAGTCCCAGCTGCTCTACTTCTGACCAGTCCTCTATGAATGTGTCTGGGAAAACAGAAGTGCTTGGGCCCTGCTCTTCACACGGGACACCCAGATGAAGCTCCTGGCTCCGGCCTGCCTCAGCTCCGGCCATTGCAGCCACCTGGGCAGTGAACCAGCAAATGAAACATGTCTGTTTCTCTCTTTCTAACTTTTTCAGTTAAATAAATCTTTTAAAAAAAATCATTTCCATTGTATTTGAGACAGAAAGAGAAACAATCTTGCACCTACTAGTTTAATTTCAAAACACCAGCAACATTCAAGGCTGGGACAGATCAGAGCCAGGGACTCGGGAACTCGACCTGGACTTTCCACAAAGGCCACAAGGATTCAGGTCCTTGAGCTTTTAACCTGGTCTCAGCACCAGCGGGAAGCTGCGATAAAAGTGGAGCTGGACTTGAATGCAAGTGTTATGACATGGGAACAGGACATTCCAGTAGCTTTTGCAAAACGTTCATTCCCCAATCATCATTTTAAGTCAAACCAGCGGCCCGACTGAGCACCAGAGTTAACCAGACCCAACAGCACAAACCACAGGCCCAGGACTTCTCCTTATCTCCTCATCCTGAAAGTCTGAAGAGGAGCATTCAAAGCGTATTCACTTAGGATCCCATGTTAGTGCTTTCCATAGCAAACACCCACACTCTCTACACAATACCTTTCAATACAACCTAATTCTGGAAGCCGCATAATTATTACAAGTTACTGGAGCCATGGAGGTGTTTCACAGAGTACCTATTCTGCAGGGCGCAGCAGTATATGAAATGGTAATTTTCAGTATGAATTTGTACCTCTATTTACAAGAAGCCCTGCATAATGTAATTAATTCTGTTTTGGGGTTATGCTTACAAACTGCAGATCCTGTCTTCTAAAACTGGGCACAGCAGCATTTTCCCAGGGGCTTTTCCAGGATCCTGTCACCCGTCAGCAGGAGGCGGAGTCTACCCCTTCCTCTTGAATCCATGTGGGACTTTCCAACAGCCCTGACCAATACCATCAGGCTGAAATAATGCTGCACCAGCTCAAATGCCAAGTCAGGAAAGCTGGGGTGGCTTCTGCCAGGTCTCAGTCTTCTGGGACATTGCCACTGAAATACTGCCACTGTGCTATGAGCAAGTCCAAACCAACACACATGGAAAAGCCACATGGAGGAGTCCATGTGGAAAGGAACCAAGGCTTCCCTGGACCAGTGCCAGCATCCACCGGCAGAGCCAGACATGTGCGAACAAGCCTGCAGAGCCTAAGTTTAGATATGTCCAAGTGCTCAGACTTAGAGCCGTTCAGCTGAGGCATCAGACTGTGACACAAAGACAAGTCTTCTTTCTACTATTACCCTGGCTAAAAGAATCTGTGAGCAGAATAAAGAGCTGTTTTCCCCAAAAAGTTGCTGGGATACATTTTGTTACCATCATGTTAATGAAAACAGCCCTTACTTTTACTTTTGAAAATCAACACATGCACATACTGAAAATCTTCAGTGCAAGAATTTATAGTTCAAAGAACATGTATCTAAGAACATGTGGATTTGTTGTCTGGTGGCAACTACAGGGGTCAGTTCTAACACATTCTCACGATGCAGACATGCATATGTATGAGTGTGTACTAGAAGCACAGATGGCAGCAGGCCATGGGAAGTTTCTGCATCAGCACGTGAAGATCATTCCAATGCTTTGGTCCTCATTTCCTTTACACGACTGGGTGGTATTCCAATATGTGGTCCTTACCTCAAACTAGTCCTATTGGACACTGAATATTTCCACTCTTTTTGTTTCTACAAATACTGCTTCAGTGAGAGCTACCAAATACGCACGTACCTGCATCGTTTCTTTCCGCATAATACATTTTTACAACACGAGCTATCATGTCCTAATTTTGACAGATGATAACCAAACTACCCTCCCATCAGCATATTAGAAGCTCCTGTTTTTCTGTATTCTTGGCAATGATATATTAACAGCCTCTTTGCTGTTAATCAACGTGCCAGGTTAAAAAAAAAAAGACATTATTTCATTAAAAAATTCTATTTTCCTTTTTACAAGTGAGATTGAAATCCCTTTTCCAATTAAATAGCCATTTACCTTCCCCTCCGTGACACGCCTGCCTCTGTTTGCTAACTGTCTTCTGATGGGCTGCTGGTCTTTTTCTTACTGCCCTACAGGAGCGCTGGTGATCCACACCACTGGATTCCCAGGGCCTCTGATGCCAGCAGACCATCAGCTCTGTCTCCTAGGCTGCTAATCTGCGATTCCTCTCTATTCCTCACAGTCAAAACATTCCACTCCCCACAACCTGCTCAAGACACCGATCAGGAGGAAACTAGACATATGCAATGGAAATACTCAATGCTGTGTTTTAAAACTGATAATGTGTGCCCAGCATGATAGTCCAGTGGCTGAAGTCCTCGCCTTGTGTGCTCCAGGATCCCATATGGTTGCTGCTTCATGTCCTGGCTGCCGCACTTCCCATCCAGCTGTTTGTGGCCTAGGAAAGCAGTCAAGGACCCTGGGATCAAGCACCCATGTTAGAGACCCAGAAGCTCCTGGCTCAGCTCCAGCCACTGTGGCCACTTGGGGAGTGAGCCAACAGACAGATCTTCCTCTCTGTCTCTCCTTCTTTCCGTAAATCTAACTTTTCAATTAAAAAAAATCAATAAACTTAAAAAAAAAACCAAAATTATAATATACCCAAATTTAAAATGTATTTTCATTAAAAATATTTGCTCTAAACTTGGAGAAAACTAGTGAAGAACTGAACAGAAATCTTACAGTGCTCATTTTGTGACCTGGGGAAATCAAACCATTTGACTAAAAATGATCTGTGACACATGCATGCCTCAGGACCAACTGTAAAATGACAGGGGGGAAAAAAAAGCCTTTTTAAAACTGCTTCTGGGTCAAGGATCTTAAAACTACAGTCACCTAGGGCAGTGTAGTCCACCTATCTGCAACCTGCATCACCTGGGTGGGAACTGGTCAGGCCTCATCCTAGACCAACTGAACCAACTGGGGCGAGGTGCAAGGCCTGTGTTCCACCTCCCCAGGTGAGTTTTTGCACTCTGAGAGGCACAGAGGCACAGTCCTCTGGGGTTGGAGATGCCCCGGATCCAGGCCCCGAAGCCCTTGCGTAGCCTTAGCCATCTCTGGCTGCAGGATGAAATGCTTTCGGGGAGGCGTCTCAGTGCCCAAGGTGAGCACTTGGTGTCTGGGAAGGACCCCTCTGAGCCACAGGGGAAGCTGGGAGGACCCAGGATTTCCATTTTCACTTAAGGCAAACAACGGTTGTGGGAGTGGAATGGAGCAGTTCAACAGTAAAATCCTCTGGGCTGAGGGCTCCTTCATCTTGGAAGGGACCTTCACTTCTGACAACTGCAGTGGGGCTGGGCAGGCATCAGCCAGGGGTGAGGACATTTGGTGCTACTGTCTTAAGGCTACAGACACTTTCTCTTAAATTACCCAGTCCCATTAGGGTGAAAGAAGAAGGCAGAGATTCAGTTAGGAATGCTGTCAGTGCTATAATAAAGCAAGCACAGCTGCAGTGTCCCATGTCTGATGGCCCTAGGGAAGCTGCACAAGGTGGAGGCTCGGAATTCCTCACACGCTCTGCTGGAGCTTTCAGGGATGATGAAAACCATCATGTATAAAATCCCTACTTGATGGGCTCCTGGATTCTCCAGACAAAATGGGGCCAAGACCCAGGCCAGCAGCCTATTTTTAACATGATGCAGTGGTTAAGGGAGTCACATTTTACCTTGTCAACATTAGCCCGCGTTTTAGCAGATGTTTCCACATAGTTAACATTCCACTGGTCAGCTCGGTTTTTTGCTTCTTCTACAGAAACCTGCCTTTTATCTTCTAAATCTGATTTGTTACCAACCAGCAGAAAAGGAACATTCTCATCTTCTTTTACTCTTAAAATCTGCTCCCTGGATAAGAAAAAAAAAAATAATTACCATTATTTCGACATGTTAAAAAAACAGTATCTGCAATCAGCATTTATGTGTGATTATGTTTTTATACAGCAAAAAAAAAATACATGTATTATACTGTAGAAAAATAATCAGTGCTTATTCCATACTCTACCAACAATCTTCTTTTTTTCAGTGTCATATTATTTATTTGAAAGGTAGAGAGAGCAAGGGAAAAAAAGAGAAAGAGGGCTTCTCTGCTGGTTCACTCCCCAAACGGCTGGAGCTTTCCAAGTGCCTGGGCCTTCATCCCTTCCCTTCCCTGGGGCTCTGGCATGGCGATGCTCCCATCAGAGGCTGCAGCTAAACTCACTGTGCCCCGCTGGTGGCCCCATTTACGAGCACCACTTGAGGTACATTCACTTCACTAGTGAACGAAAAATATACCAAGCATGGCAGTGCAGGCCCAAATTCAAAAGTTCAAGTCCTTAAAAAAAAAGGCGGGGGGAGGGCATGGGGAGAGGTTGGGGGAATCCCAGAGCCTATGAAACTGTGTCATAAAATGAAAAAAAAAAAAAAAAAGCCAAATGTTTACTTTAGGATGATTTTAGTTATACAAAACCTCTGAAGGAGCCCACCCCAGGACACAGTTCATCACGCCTCCACCTGGCTATCATGGCTCTCTGTTGTTCCTTGCTTTTGATAACCCAAACAGTGTTGACAAGTGTTACTTAGAATGCCTGTCAAATGATATTTGTCTGATGTTTTTCTAATGATTAGGGGATGGGTTTGGGGAACATTGCCGAGGTAGAATGCAAAAAGCTCCCACTTCCAATTAATCACTGCAAGGTAGCTCCTGAAGCTCCTGAACAGATCTGTTTCGTTGGGAGTTAAGCTATCGACTGGGAGAATGTCATCTAGCTTATTGTGGCATGGCTGTTCTTCCTCATCATGTGACTTCTTGGACTTGGTTTCCTCGCCAAATGGGGCTAAAAACACACCCTCCTTAGCTTCTGGAAGGACTAAATGTCGAGTGCTTATAACTGCACAGCATACAGCAAACATTTGATAAATGTTAGCTGTGCTTCTGATTATCTACTGGGAGAAGACTTTGTCTTACAAAAGTCAACAGACAAAAGGACTAGATTGACTAGCAAGACTGGATTTACTCTCTTGCTATCTTTAGATGTCTCTTTTGAAATTGTTAAGATGTTGAAACTATAGGGAACTAAGTATTTCAGACAAAATACCAGAGGGCTGTCCTAGAACCAGATACCTCAAGAACACATTTTGGTTGAGAAGGTTTCTTTCCAACAGTTCCGCTTCGTGAGAGACTCCTGATGTGGAGCTGACACCAAGGTGCCTGGCTCCACACTCTAGTCTCTCAAGCCTCCGTGACATTTCTCCTTTATGGCAAAGTAACAACTGTTTCAGAGGAACTGTACTTATTACATGAAAGGAATTTAAGAAGTTCATGGAAAATGCATTAAAAGGTAATAAATTTTCCAAGAAATTTTTGTAGCTTCCCTTGTATAGTAAACAGAGCACATTTGGAATACACGAGAAAAAGGGTGGAAGGAAAAGTGAATTCTGAAAATGTCTTAAATCAACTGACAAGTAGAACTGATGTTAACAAAATAATGTATGATAAATACCATGGCATGGAATGATTTTTTTAAAGAATACTCTACATAGAAATGCTTAAACATTAAAAGAAAATGTAGGGAAATGGGCTGTAACTGTGAATTAGGTAACATAACATATTCCTTTTATTTGAAAGGCAGAGTTACAGAACAGGAGAGAAAGAGAGGGAGAACCATTGTTTTGCTGGTTCACTCCCCAAATGGCTGCAATGGCTAGAGGTGGGCATTTCATTCTATTTTATTATTTTTTTTAAATTTCATTTTATTTATTTATTTTTTATTACATTGCATTATGTGACACAGTTTTTTAGGCACTGGGATTCCCCCTCCCCCTAGAGGTGGGCATTTCAAAGCCAGGAGATTTTCTGGGTCTTCCATGAGGGAGCAGGGGCCAAACCACTTGGGCTAATGCTCTGTTGCTTCCCCAGCCATTATCAGCAGGAAGCTAGATTAGAATTGGAACAGACAGGACATGGAGTGGAGACCACATGGGATGTGGGCATTGCAGGTGGCAGTTTAATTCACTACACCACAGCACCAGACCCAACATATCCATTTTAAAATATATAGCCTTGGGTCCGGCGCCATGGCCTGGCGGCTAAAGTTCTTGCCTTGAAAACGGTAGGATCCCATGTGGGTGCCAGTTCTAACCCCAGCAGCTCCACTTCCCATCCAGCTCCCTGCTTGTGGCCTGGGAGGGCAGTTGAGGACAGTCCAAGGCCTTGTGGCCCTGCACCCACGTGGGAGACCTGGAGGAGATTCCTGGCTCCTGGCTTCAGATTAGCGCAGCACTGCCCATTGTGGTCACTTGAGGAGTGAATCATCGGACAGATGATCTTCCTCTCTTCTCTCCTCCTCCCTATATATCTGACTTTTCAACAAAAATAAATAAATCTTTAAAAAAAAAATAAATCTATAGCCTTGGAAAATCTGGACCTAAGGAATCAGAGGTGAAGAGAACTTTATTTTTTATTTGTCATTTTCCTGGCTATACACAAAGGTAATGTTTATTATCTGCATATACATCTTGTTTAGTGTTAAAATTTATTTTACAGTGAGAGAGGATATTATAGGATTTTACAATAGGGAAGTCCCTTTTCAATCTGGTCTAGCTTCTTTTTTGAAATAAGGAAAGTGAACAGCAAAAAGGTTTAAGTTTTCAAATTGAATCAAAATGTTTATTCAACATTATTTACAAACACCTAAGCTTCAAGCTTGAATGTGGCAGGTACGATACTAAGCTTCTGCAAGCTCGTCATTTACACAGATGAGGGAGCAATGCATTCTGCCCTGGGCACAGAGGGCCAGGAAGGCTGAAGGCAGGGGATGGTACTTATCTTGGTGGTTTTCCATGTGCAGTGTCTACTGTAACCATTCACACCTTTTCAAAAATGTCTTCGCTATTGCTGGTGAGTCACTAGGGCTATTTTTATTTATGGGAAGGCAACTCATTGGAGGTACACAGGAATAGTAATGAATCATCCTTACTTTCTGTTACAGTAATGGCCTCAAATCTCTCTTTCGCAGTAAAAATACTTCATTCTCTTGAGATACATCACTTTGGCTTTGGTAACTATGGTGACAAAATTTATTCCATTAGCTAGAACAGGCCTTGCTAAGCACTCAAATATATACTGATTGAATAAGAAAGTACTAACATTTATGTTACTTTCAACCCATCTCCCAGGACTGTGACTAGGAATGACCATCTTTTGCATTCTATCATGTCCGCAGTTCCTTTCTTATAGAAACCAGAAGTCTTAATTCTACAAATGAATTTACATTTTAAAGTTACTCAATGACAAGCCTTTCTGCAAAGAGTATCTGTTCTCTTGGAATCCTTGGAGTCTCAGAACTTTCAAGTGTATATAAAAAAGAATGCTCTAAATAAGCTCCTGTTTCTTGCTCAACCACCTGAAATGCCTTCTCTCCTCATCTGTGAAAACCTTTCCCCAGGCCTCTCTGTTCGTGCAGATTTCCCAGCTCCTTTCCCCTCCCAGATCCTCAGTCATGATCCTGGATGTCTTTGTCACTAAGTTGCTCTTGATCACATGCTTTATATACTGACCAGGACAATGAGGACACATGACATGTTTCTTTTATGTCCTTCAAAACTAAAGCAGAGCCTCAGCACAGAAACAGAATTCTAAGTAAAGATTGTCTTTTACTGAATATACACGTTCTATCTGCAATACAACTCAAGAATTTCATCTGCATTAAATTTGACATATAGAGCAACTTTCCTTCTCCAAAACCACTCCCCCAAAATGGATGCCAGATTTTGACTTAACAAACAATAAACAAGACAGTCTGTAGAACACAACCTATTGTGCCAGTCTACAATATTATTTTAAAAATGCAGCACTGTCATAGCAGTGTGCCAGCTGAGCGTTTACACAGGTGCTGAAAATCCACAACTAACAGAAAGATTAAAATAGGGGATGGCTCCATTATGTGATTCAAATATTAACTATGATGGCAATAGCAGCATTTTAACTGAAAAAGAAATATTTCACTAAAATGCAGAAGGAGTTTCAGCCTGTCCTAGAGGTTGTCACAGACTCAGCCTCTTACTACAGCTCTGCAATGGAATGGCTGTAAGATTATGCAACGTATCCTGAACATCTGTGTGTGCATGCACAGTGGCTAACAACATGCACTGCTATCAGTGAACGAGTAAACACAATGAGAGACCAAGTAAAAGACCAACCAGCAAGAAGCCCTGGTTGTCCACTTGTTCTGGGGAGACTCGTGCAGTGGGTCACAGGCAGCAACCTCACTCTTGAACACACCTGAAGTCGGCTGTGGCTGCAAAGGACTCCATTTCCGTAATAGAGAAGACACAGAGGAAACCCTCCCCACTCCGGAAGTAGTTGTCTCTGATGGCAGCGTAGTCTTCCTGCCCAGCTGTATCTAAGATATCGATCTGCACTTCCTCCCCATCCAGCACTACCTTCTTCCGATAGCTGTCTGCTTTGGTGGGCTCATAGTCCTCTACAAACTACAAAAAAAGAGGAAAAACACATTCATTTTAAAGTCTTTTCACTTCCCCAAACAACTGGAAAATTTGAAACAACTGGATTTAGAAGAAGCTGACAAAACAGTACGTAGAGGTTTCAAGTACACTCAAGTACCCAGTTCCCCCAATGGTAACAATGACATGAACCTTCATTTCCATTTCAGGCAACTTTTTGGACTCCTATTTGCAAAGACAGAGCCAAATTAAATTTCCTTTATTGCCCAAACCCTTTCCTTGTTATTAACAATCAATAAGATATGGGGTGGTACAAATTCTGCAGGATTATTTTTGCCAGAGGACCACATGGCACACTTAGGTTACTTGCCGGAGATCACTTTTGGGCCAAGTTGGGCAATCTCTCTGTGGTGGTGGTTTTCTCATCTGTGAAGTGGGAATATCATGCAGGATTGTGTTCAGCAACTAAAACACCTGCCCTCTACTGGGAGGAGGAGGAGTGCAAGATATTTTTTTTTTTTACCAACACTTCAATCTTTAAGCCTTGTTAACAATCCTCTAGGGAAAGCCATATTGTTGTATATCTGATACTTTTAACTGAAGGATGTCTAGTCTGGCATAAATATGTGCACAAAAACCTGTAAGCTAAAAATGATAAATTTTAGCAATACAGCTGTTACTTGTTTAATAGTGACTATTGCCTTGCCAAATTCACAAAAATGGAAATTTTCATTTAGCTTACTAAGGAAGGCTTTATATGTTAACTTCAACTTTCAACTATATAGTACATGCACTTGTTCTACAAAATCAAGCTAAGAATCTTCAAACAAAAAATAATAAAGCTCAAGACTATTCAAAAACTAGGCACCATTTTCGGTTTTTTTTTGAGAGCAGGAAGTTTTTCAAGGCTCTCAAATTCTTGACTTTTTTTTTTAAAGGATTTATTTTTATTGCAAAGTCACATATACAGAGAGGAGGAGAGACAGAGAAGAAGATCCTCCGTCCGATGACTCACTCCCCAAGTGGCTGCAATGGCTGGAGCTGAGCCAAATCAAAGCCAGGAGCCCAGAATCTCCTCCGGGTCTCCCATGTGGGTGCAGGGTGCTGGATGGGAAGCAGGGCCATGGGGATTAGACTGGCGCTCATATGGGATCCTGGCGCATCCAAGGCAAAGACTTCAGCCACCAGGCTAACATGCCGGGCTTGAATTCTTGACTTGTTAAGCCAAGTTATATACAGGCATTCCCTCTGAATTTAAAAATGAAAAACATTATTTGCAGTTTTCAGGACTCAAGAAATCTATATGATTTAGCAGCAAGATTAGTAATCTAGAAAATACTGACAGTCCAAAGTAGCATATCCACTGGGAAACAAGCACTTACCTCATCATACATGAACTGTAGAGTGAGAGCAGATTTGCCCACACCACCACTTCCCACCATGATGACTTTGTGTAAAGCCAAGGAATTCTGACCCTTGGGCTTATTTGCAGCCATCTTGTGTTGTAGTTTCCACCAAAAGATTAAGTGAGAAGAATCTGAGGATGAAAGAAAACATTACACTCTGAATATTCTTCTATAAAAGAGATACGTTCTTAGGGTTCCAGATAACCAGTTTTCATTCTGCAGTGATTTTAAGCAGATGGCCAATGAAGCATGCTCACTTAGGGAAAGATCCCCTTATCTGAGAATAGTATGGCAATAAAACAAGCATAGTGCTCAAGTGCATTTCTTTTTAACTATTGGTTTTCAATTAGGAGCTGTGATCAAAAATGAAAATTTCTCAGGGTAATCACACACTGATAACAATAGGGTATCAGCTAGATAACATTCACACAGATTAGGAAAACAGGCTAAGGGGTCACTTTGTTTTCATATTCATCTATACAGGCAATATGTGCAGAGCTAAGGACTTTACCCAAAAACTTACCTAACTGCCCTCTGATAAAAGCAGAAATCTCATCTCGGCAACTTCGTAACAGAATTATACCCAACTACGAAAATACAGTAACACCAGTGTTTCTTGTGGTGGCTAGCCAATCTAACCTAACTACTGAGTCTACTGTACCCCTACTTTCCTCAGAACATGCCTTTGTTAAATACATTTATGTGTTCAGCATGGAAAAGATCAGGCTCCTGCAGGACCTGCAGTAATGACTGGCACTAATGGCAGCTAGTTTCCCACAGCCAAGGTATAAGACCTCAGGGGAAAAAAATAGTTGTGAAGTCACAGCAAACACCGACTGTGTGTGGAGTGTGAGCAGAAACTGTTCTCCGAGACCAGGGAGCACACCTTTCCTCGGTATCTTGGGTTTGTTTTGGTTGAAAACACAGCTTTGCTTAGCTGTGCTTCAAATCTGCTTACCCCTGTCTTGTGGGTCCCTCTCCCGGATGGGCTACATGGGGCACACACTGGTCTCCTGGGGGTCCTTAATGGCTCTCCTAGGCCTCTTAGCCTCTGTTAGGCACTTTTCTGTATTGGGCATATTTTTAGGCTATCTGGCTGATTCGTCCTAGTTTGGGAATGGCAACGTAAATGACTCTCTCTGTCCTGTGCTCTTAGCATTTGATACCTTCCCTAAATAGCCCTTTTAACAATTTGGAATTGTGTTGCAATCTGGGTGCAAGTGTCATGTCTATTTGGTTATCTCACCCTTAACATGACTACCAGTGCTAGGCAGATAATCAGCCACCCAGCGCACATGTGCTGAATGAACAGATAAAATAAATGGCTGCAGCCTGACTTGACCCTGGAAGTGTGGCAGACGAGACCAGTGGGAGGTAGCTGCTCCTACTACACAGTCTATTGCAGCAGGAGAAAACAGCTTGCTTTGGGCCTTGGAGGCATAGGATACCCAAGGGCTAGAGACTGTTTTGGATTCCACCCAGAAATCACGCCCACATGCTTATTTGTCCAGTACAGAAAAGGAGTAAGGAAGAAATCCCCACTGTCCTTCTACCCATTTAATACGACATGCTAACATAATTCCTTTGAAACTGCTTTCACCCTTCATCTAGTGTCTCTTCTGAGTACCAGGCAAATGATCATTATATCCTCCCCGCCTATCAGTGCTCAAAAACATGAAAATTATCATGTCACATATCTCAAATAAATTAAAGATCTAAGATACCAAATAAAAGCAAGTTTATGGAGTATGGTGGTGTTGGTGATCCTAAATCTGGAAATGATTTTTCTCACTATTCTCACATCATAGTACATAACCGCTATTTTATTTTTAGAACAGAAGTGCCACTAAAGCTTGATGTTACCATATCAATTAATAATCTAAGAGGGGTATGGAGTACGTGTTTTAAAGGAAAACGCTTAACAGTTCCATCAGCCTGGTTAAAATGCTTTTCCTTTCAGAACAGCTTAACATATAGTCTATGACTCACTCAGAAATGGAAAAGGCAGACTCCTGAAGACATTTTCCTAAGTTACAAAAACTCCCTAGCAACCATGAGCTGAATTCTGCACACTCTGAAGACACTATCTGGAAATGAGGCTCCTGTCAAGGAAATCCTCCTCCATGCCATTTAGCAAACTTGGCAGTGTAAACCCAATTCCCAATCCTGGGTCTGGTTACTTTGAATGATAAACAAACTAAAGCTCCTGCCTCTTTGCAACTAAGACACAAACATGTACACAAAGAAGAAAGAGTCAGTAATACCAAGTGCAATGAAAAGAAGATGGAGGTATGCGATCACCAGTAAGGGATGAAGCCACTCTTACCAGATGGTCAAGTAAGACACCCCTGAAGTGTCATTTCATCATAAAATTTATATTTTATTTACTTGAAAGGCAGACACAGTGTCTCCCATCCTCTGGTTTGCTTTCCAAATGCCTCACACATCTCTGGCTGAGACAGGAGCCCAGAACTCAGTCAGGGGTTCCAAGATGAGTGGTAGGGAGCCAATTACCTAGGCCTTTACTGCTGCCTCCCAGGGTGGACATCAGCAGGACGCTGGAAAGGAGAGTGGGGTTGGTACTCCATTCCAGAACCTGACATGGGATGTGGGCCATCCCAGCTACGTCTTAAACCTACACTAGACGCTCAGTCCTGAAGATACACCAACTGAGCCGAGAACTGAAGGTTTGGAAGGAACCTGACATCTCTGAAGGCAGTGGGAACAATAAGCACAAAGATCCTAAAAAAAGTGAAGGCTGGCAAATTCTAGGGGTCAAAGAAGGCCAGAGTGGAGGATGGCCAGTAAATAACAGGAAGTGGCACTGAGAAGCCAGTAAAGGGACAAACCACAAAAAGCCTTGAAGGCCACGGGATGGTGTTAGGATTTGATTACAACTGGGAAACCTTCCCAAAGTTTTTAAGTCAATAGTGACACAATTTTGATCTGTTTTTAGAAACTTCCCTGGCTGGCATGGCGAATGGACTAAAGTACAAGAATTCAAAGCATAGGAGGTCACCCAGTAGCCCATGTAGGATAGGATTGGCTCAGGGCCACGGCAGGATACTAGGCCCACCACAACTAGTATTTGTGTGACTACCAATGCTCAATGGAAACACTTACTGACCACTTCCTAAGCACTGTTTGGAGCACTTCGTACACAGAATTAGGTTGTCAGCACTTGTGTTGTACTAACAATAACACTTTTTAAACTTCATTTAGAGATCTGAGTCACAGCAGTTGACATGCTCAAGGCTGAGCCAGATTTCAAACTGAGGCAGCCTGGCTCTCCTAACTTGTGAGCTAGTTGGGATCCATTTTGGACTGGATAGAAGAAACCAAGAGTGATTTCTAAGTTTTTTGGGGTGTAGGTGGGGGAGGGACAGGGCACAAAGATCTGAATGTATGGTGACATTTTTTTTAAATCAATGATGGGCAGACTAGGGAGGAACAGGGCTGGGAAAGAAATCCCAAGCTCTACTTGTGTGTACGATATTCTAGTCTGGAGATGAGAGGTGAGGTTAGAAATAGATGGAGACAAAAATGTTAATACCAGTCTACTGACAGCATTTGAAGTCACAAAACTGGAAGGAGGTGTTTATCTCAGAGGTTAAGATACCAATGTATCGAATCAGATTACTCGGCCCCACTGTTCAACTTTGAAAAGTGGTATCTTAAAGAACCTATGTGATTATGGGGCAGCCTCAACTTTTCAGCCACGCTTTTTACTGTTTCATCCGGAAATTAAGTATCTGTATCATGCTCAAAATGTTATTTATGACTGCCCTGATTATTTTCTTTCTTGATTCCTTGCTCTTTTCCTCCCTGCCTCCCAGCCTACCTTATTACCTAAGGACACAGTTCTGAGTGCTGGGGCTCTGGAGTTGAATTCCAAAAGCCCAACACATTTAGTTAACAGGCACACACACTGTATTAGTTTCCTCTCAAATTCAGTAACTTATAACCAAGGAAATTCATTCTCTCACAGTCTGGGAAGCCAGAAATCCAAACAGAGGGTTAAATTACAGACAAAGTCAAGGTGTTAGCAGGGCTGGTTCCTTTTTAGAGACTGTATCATCTACACCACACCTCTGGGGCCATGATGCCTTTCTGTCTCTGTACTCAAAATCTCCCCACTTCTCTGATATGAGGACAAATGACACATTTATAGTCCACTCAACACAGAAGCTCTGCAGTGGAAAACCCTTGATTTAAACACATCTGCCAAGCCCTTTTAGCCATATACAGTAAAATTCAGAGATTTGGGGGATTAAGGACATGGAAATTTGGGGGGCTGTTAGCCAAGCTGTCATTTACAGGATGTGAGCCAACAAACACTGAACTACAAATTTACAATCTAAACTTCAGGACCTTTTAAACAAATTACCCATTTAGTCTTTCAACAGTCCCTAAGGACCATTCTATCAAGTAAGAGACCAAAGGAGCTGGCATTCAGGCACAGTGAGTAAAGCTACTGCCTGTGATGTCAACATTCATATGGCTGACTTTTCAAGTCTCAGCTGCTCCACTTTCCATCCAGCTCCCTGCTAATGTACTGGGAAAGCAGCAGATGATGGTCTAAGTGCCTGGGCCCTGCCATCTACTTGGAAAGCTCGAATGGAGTTCCAAACTCCTGGCTTGGGCCTGCCACTGTCCTCTCGGTTGTGGTCATTTAGGCAGTGAACTAGTGGATGGAAGATCGGTCTCTCCCTACCTCTCTGAAATTCTTTCCAAAAAAAATCTTAAAAAATAAAATAGATATCAAATACTCATTTATTAAGCCAAACCAAAATGACATTTCTAATTTTAAATTTATCATTATCAACTTTAGACTTCCTTAATAAAGCAGCTCATTATACAGGCTATTAGCAATACTGTCTGGTTGAAGATGTAAGATTCCTTGTTAACAAAAAAAATCAAATAAACATTTCCTTCTTCAATTTGAATAATACATTAAAAGGTTACAGTTATTAAAGTTTAGTTCCTTTTAAATAATTACAAAGCACACATACATGGAGGCAAAAATAGTGTTTTTTTCAAATGGAAAAGTATTTCATATAAGCAAGTCATATGTGCAGTAAGAATACCTGCTCAATCAAGAAACACAGGAATTTAGTGTAAAATGATTAGC